CCTTTTGGTGCAGCCCAGGACACGGTTTGGCTTTCTGGGCTGCAAGCGCACACTGAAGGCGGCTCCAGTTCAATGTGTCATCGACCAACATGCCCAAGTCCTTCTCCGCAGGGCGCTGTGCGAAGTCAGAATATATCCTCTGCATAGCCCACCACCCTTCTGCAAGCAGCATTTCTTGACATGCACACAGGAATGAAACAGTTATTCAACTGTTCACCAGCGCTCATAAAAGTGATTATGTGTCTCTGTTCTTGCTTCAGCATGATTTTTTGCTTCCTTCCAAATTTATAATAAAACACTTTGAAATAAAATGTTTTCTGAGTCTAAATCTTTGTTTGTACGTGATTGCTGGCTGCAGCCCTGGCTTTATGGTGTAGTACCTTTGTGGTTCCCACCTGCGGTTCCTGTGCTGGGGGTAGTCCCGCAGGTGAATGGTTGCATGCAGCAGTGTAAGACACACGGGTAGCATGGTGCAGGCAGCACTCTGCAGGCACCTCTGTCATAAGAAGCAGACGAATCTGCCCCGCATTGGTATTGCCTGCTGTGGCCACACAGATGACTGCCTGCCATGGGATGTTTATGGGCTGGTTGTACACTCCAAAACTATCTTTTCTCTTTCTTTCCAACAGTGTCTCGGTTGCCTAAAGCATTACCCATACTCCTTCTAATGAAATTCACATAAAGCACTCACACAAAACACCTCTCTTGATGGAATAATTTGCTCTGTCCCTAAAGGATGAAGACTTAACTAACTGAATTAGTTATTTTCTTTTACATTATCAATTTACCTCAACGATATAAAATAGAAACCACTTTTTGTCATTTTCTGACATTTCCTTCAATGGGAGTTTGAAGCTTGACTGGGGGTAGACTCTATATTTTCTGCTGAATATGACCACATCCTGCTCCAGCTCCACCTCCTTCTTTCCTGTGAATTGCGGTGGTACTTGGGTAGAGGAGGATGACTGGAAAGAAAATGAATTCTTGGCTTCTCCTTTTTTCTTTTAACTCTTAATTCACATAGGGGTATCACTATAAAGAAGCATTATCATTATTTTTCAGTTCTTAGAAACAGAATCAAGATAAAGATGCATCCAAGTGCAGGTTCAGCAATAAGATCAAGCAGCATCGCAAAGGCAAATTATTTCTTCGCTGCTGGTATTTTCATAACCTGATGCTTTTGGGACACATCATACAAACCATGAATTTCATCCTTTCCCAATATAAAAATCAGAAGGAACATCTCTTCTAGTTGTGTACTGCATAGAATATTGCATCAAGAGAAATTACGGTTCTTACAGCCAACCCTACATCTTACATATCAAGAAGGGATCAGAATTAACCACAAATGTGAGAGCCATTTGAGCTACTGATTTGGTCCAGGCTGTTTCTGAAGCCCAGTTAAAACTCAGTCAACAATAATACAGGTTTGAGTGTACAGCTCTTTCATACAGATGCTTCATACAGCTATCAGCATTTGGAATTCCAATGGTTATTTTCCAACTCAAACACCTGAAAGACTAGAGCTACCAAATAATGAAAACAATCACTTTAAGAGTAAAAATAAATAGTTTAATGCATGGTAAAATTGTCAGATCGCTTCTTAAATAAACTGGTAATATTAGAAAAAGAGAAATACAATTTCCCATAAGATATTTCTTACAATACAAAAAGTTTCTTAAAATAAATTTGTCTCTTCAATAGTACTAACATTTCTACTGGCTATAAAGAAATGACAAGAAGCCATACTTCACTAACATGGTAGTGAATCCATTCCACATATAAAGTTAATGCTTTAATATTATCTAACATGCTATATAAAACTAACCATTACTGGCTGTAACTCTCATGTCACGGTGCACTGCATGGTCTATTTCAGCACCTTCCTCTTAGCATTGGTCTACTCATCTGATCTGTTGTCAACAAGAAAAACTATGATGTGCTGCCTTATGAAGGCAAATATCTTGCATCTGTTCATTTTTATCCCCACTGCTGGGACAGGGCCTATAACTAGTGATATTGACTAGTTTCTCTTTGAACTTACAAATGTGGGTCAGATAGTTGTCTATTCTCTAGTACCACTAGCTAATTATTAAAGCACACAGTTACTCTGACCCTAGAAAGATTCCTGTAGCATTCAGATGCATTAATGAACAAGATGTATGTCTTACCAATGTTTGTTTCTTCATTTCCATTTCACATTACAGAAGACAAAAATAGAACAGATACCACCTTATCCAGTAAGACTTTAGGATGAACAAGGAGATGATGGGAATTGAAGCTCACTTAGGAAGATAGTGCAAAGGTCTTGCATGTAATTAAAGAAAATAGAAAGTATGTTTAACTTTTCAGATTGTTTTATGAGGAAAGAACAATGGGGAAACATAGCATACGTAGTTAGGAAAAAAAGTAACAGACATGAACATGGGTGGAAGTGAGCATTAAGGATGAAGGTGTGCAGATAATTTTTGATAAGCCAAGTGAAGAAGAAATCAGCCATGTGCAAGACTGCTTTTTAAGATCATACAGGGAATCCAGATTTAATTTTAAGGTAAGGCAAAGCAGAGGTTTCAAAATCAGCAGAGCATACATGATTTTCATGAGTGAAATGAGCTACTGAGATATCAGGACAACAATAAAGGAGGAGGTAGTGGTGTTATAGGAGTACAACACTGTTACAAATGTACCACATTTTCCGTTTACAATATTGCATCACAGACAGTATTTACAGGACAACATCTTTAAAGTGTTTCTACCTAATGAATAGATCCCTGCGCTGGGATTACTAATGGATAAGAGAAGCATCCTCTTCTAGGTTGTGAGGAAGATGAAAAGTCTTTCCATCTTTTCTCTGAAAAGTTAAAACAGTACATTAACATTAAAATGAAACTTTAGTTAGATATTTCAGCATATTCTTTCCTGTTTCTTTACACTGCATTTTCTATGAGTCCTGTCAATTAGATAAGGAACAAAATGATACTGAGAATTGGAACTCATTAGTACTTGTTCTCTTGACCCTTAACAAATCTTACTTATATACACTGTATGGTTATGCATTAGCCTAGAATTATTACAAAAGCGCATCAGTGTGGCTCAGTAAGTTGAGGGTGAATGGAAGCAGCTCCATGAATCGCTTTCAGTAAAATTGCAGATCATAGGACTTTTATCCTTAGGATGTTTTAATCAAGACAACTGTAAATGCACTGGGATCACTATCTAGTTATTGGTAGCCACTGGAATCACTACCTAGAAAACCTGTCAGAATGAACATTTGGTTCCTTTAAAAGGTATCTCTGTGCATGATAATTTTTTTAAAAAAAATCTGAAAAGACAAAAATCAAGAGGCTTTTTCATCCTTGAAAAAAATGATCCTAAATTTGCTCCCAAATTACTTATTCTGTCTTGCTTGGATTAAAATTTGTTATATAAGCATTCAAATATGAATACATAATAAGGAGAAACATTTTCAATTATTTGCCTCCCTGTTATGGCACACACACAAGATTATTATTTTTTTTGTATGCATAAAATACGAAAAGAGATCTGAAAAGTTTGGTTGGAGTCTGTAGCTAATCAGTCTCATTATGACTCCTTTTCTTATCAGAGGACCAAACAGTGAATTCAAGGTTATAAGCTACGCATAACACAACTTTTTTGAAACCTGAGTATTTTACAATTTTCTTAATACTGTTGTGCAAAATATATTTACTAACAGATCCCAACATCTTTCAGAAAGATTTCCTTTCAAGTAAATACTTCTACTGTTTGTAAGGAAACAGCCTCTTTAATGTACTTACATGTCAGTGTGAGAGAAGTCGGGTCAAACTTTAACTTGTTACATTCAGATGTCCCAGGATTAGAAGTATCATCTTCATCATAAATGTTTTGACGTAAAACGTTCCTTATAAAATCTGGGTTCATTGTGTTTTCCATAAACCCCTCTATTGATGGGGGTACAGAGAACTCTAGCTGATAAAATACAGTGGAGTTTTCATTGCTGAAAAACAAAGCCAAGTATGAATGCCTTCAAGTCCCCACTGGAACATTCCTTTTTTGACTGACTTCATACGAATGTTGGTGTGGGGTTTTTTTTAAATCTTACACTAAAGAAAAGCATTATAAAAGAAAACTGCCAAAGATTCATTTCCTCCTCCTCCTGCTCCCTTCTCAGAACAGCTCTTGATATTAACAGAAACTGGGTACATACCTGAAGCTAACCTGAGGCATATTTTCAAATAGACAGAGATCAATTGGATGTGCATCCTAACAGGGTGAGGTTTTCAACACTCATACTTCACAAGTACATAATGATAAGCGGTGCTGTGATATCTTACGCATAGGTTAGCTGAGAACCTATAGAAAGATTTGCTCTCCTGCTAGCAGGACTTGGGGCCACTCAGTTGTGCTCCTAACTCAGCTCTGGAGTGTGTCGTGCAAACCACCAAACTCGAGTCTGTCTCTGGAAATTGCATAGTTTGTGGTCTACCAAATCCACTGACTACAATTTGACAGTTACATTTTGTCCTCAATTTAAAACCTAAAAACTTATTTGGGTGGGGGAAAAGAAAAGGAGACACAGAAGGAGACAAGCGGGAGGGGGGAAGGGAACAGGGAGAGATAAGCTAGTTGATATGTGTGCAGAACTATAGCTTTTTTTTGGTGGTCCAAATCGTGATTTTTTACTCATAAGGCTAAGGAGCTACAGCTCACTCACTGAACAAGGCTGGCATGTCCAAGGCTGGCAGTGCAGGGGAGCACATTCCCCAAAGCACCCCCAGGACTACCCCTTGCAGCATCCCAAGGGGACTCTTCCCCTGTCCTTGGCTTTGGGACTTTGTAAATCTACTTCCCTTGATTCCCTATTGTCTTTTTAATTCCTTTTGTAACAGTGCTTTTCCGGTCGTCCTTGGGAAAGCTCTCCAACACCTTCCCTTGCCTTTCTGCTATCTCTCCACAGCAGGACCATGCTATAGCTGATCTTGCCAACCCCACTTTTCCCTTTGCCGCTTGGCCTCCCTCCTGTTGTAAATTTGTAGTATCTCCATAGACCAAAACTTCATAGTCTCAAGCACAGTAAACTTCTTAGCCTTCTTCCAGTGACAGTTTCTGTTGAGAGTAAGATCCTCCCTCTGTTCCAGGTTGAAGCTTTCAGCTACCTGTGCAAGGCAGGCTTGGATGTTTTTCCTCTTTTTCCTACCACTGCTACTCCTCTGGCTCCATCATACTTTGGTGCCTGAGGTTCTCCTTCATCCGTAAGCATGTCCCACCCAAGCTAGCCTAGACTACACTCTGCCACCTGCTCTGCCTCTGATTCCTGTTCCCCAGTCTTTCCAACATGCTGCTGCTTTTAGATTTGCTCCTGTGGTCCAAAATAAAGTGAGAGGAAAAGTGACACAAATAAACCAGCACTGCAGTATTACTGTTTGGGCCCTCACAACTTCTATGTCCCTATTGCATTTAGCTCTTGGGAACAAAACCAGTTCAGCCCTCACCGCTCCCCGTATAGCCCGTTTTATTTATTTAAGGCTATTTAAGCTGTCAATCTCAAGTAATTCCAGCAGCTCGTTTTCCTTTTAATAAATATCCTTTAATATGCTTAATAAAGGGCTGCAATTTGAACCAAAGACAACAGGGATGATACTTAACAGCAAGAAAACGTTCCTCTATCATATATTATTAGCAGCATTTGCCATTTACACTAGAGAATCCTTCGACTATTTTGCACCACCTATATATGTAACTTTCCCCCAAACAATCGATTTTTCACAGATTTAAACGTTGTGCATATCTACATAGGCACATGTATGTCTCAACAAAAGCCTGGATTTTTCAGATAATTTTGGTGACAAGAAATTGCTTACCTGAAATAAACCACCTGAGCTGACCTAAAGTAGCGTCCTAGAGCTGGAGATGAACTGTAGACATCTGTTAACTTGCAGGGTAAAAAGAAAAGAAAAAAGGTTTCTTCTGTTTACTGTCTTTTTTCCCCCATAAAAGAAAGTAGAGCACATCATTCTTAAAAGGTGCTTTAAGGGGCAAAAACACAGGTGCTGAAGGTTCAGTAACAGCAAAACTCTGCCCTAGAAAAGGTATATGATCCCTTTAAGCTTGACAGACAAGTTAATCTGTGCATTTGAGTGATTACTACATCAACACAATGGAGGCACTCAGGGTGAACTAAAAGTATGCTCTCATGTTGTCATGTGCAATTTAGGTTGTTTGACTGGGGTTTTTGTTAGTACCAAATCCCTTCTACTGTTACTTGACAGAGGAAAGGGTCTTTCTACTCAGACTCCCTTTCCATAGTAAGTCTAAAACAGCACTACCATGCCTGCTGAGCTTATTTCAGCTGTAACTCAGAGCTGTGATGGCTCAATGTAAAAAGCAACTATAAACCCAGGTTGTCATCATGTACTTACAGGAGGATGCAACACACAGGATTTTTAGCCACCATTTTGTTTAGATGACCTTCACAGGCCCCTCCTAGCCTAAATTATTCAATGATTGCATGAAAAAGGTGAAGACTATGTCCCAGACACTAATCAAATTCGGGGAAAAATTAAAAAAACAAACAAACAAACAAAAACAAAATAAAAATCAATGTAAACTGCTTGTGTGCTTAAAAGCAGACAGGTCTGTTTTCTAGATCAGGACTTAAATTATGCTACGAAAAGTACAACTCATTTTTTTGTGGACTCGAGAGCAACTGAGTTGCTACACAGACAAACAGAAACTTTTTAAAAGGGAAAACGATGATTCTGTGTTACAAGCAGAATCAGCTTTGCCAAGAAACACATCAACACATACCTTCTTAGTAATGTCTTCAGAGAAGAGGTGTGGAAAACCACACATTAATTCCAGTGTTCCTGAAAAATTGCGACTATTTCTACTGTTCAGTAGTGCATCAGCATCCCAGTAGTCATCCTCATCTGTGTAAACATCTGCTTTTCAAAAGGAGATAGAAAGTGGAGGAAAATGTGCCAGTTAGAAGAAATATCAGAGAGAAAAAATGAAAATAAAAATCCTCTTTGCTTTCTCCCAGGTGGCTTTCTCACAGATTCCCTCTGTAATGACTGACTGGGAGTGACAGAAAGAAAGTGCAAGTCACCCGAAGGAAAGTGACAGCACAGTGGAGTTCAGTCACCAACTCCCTTTAGCAAAAGTTATCTGCTTTGGGAGCCTGACAGGCGCTGACACTGGATAAGGGGACCGGAGTGACCCATTGCGCTTGTTGCAATGTTACAAGCATCGTTTCCATCCTCATCCCGGACTCACTTCTTGTAACATTTTCTCACTTACCTACAAACTGGAATTGCCATCTGATCAGGATACAAGTTGCTTGCTGCCTGCTAAAATAAAAGTGTTCAGACCCACTACTCAACACACCACCCTCTGCAGTCAGCATCCCAGTCCCTTCAGCAGTTCATAGAAAGAGTTTAAAGGATGCTACTGTTCAATTTGTCTCAGATTATGGGTATCCTACATTTGTATTAAAGAATGAATCAAAAGTGAGATACTTACTAGAATAAAGAATTAGGCTGATGAGAATGACCAGGAAGAATACTAGAAAAATTGTGGTTATAACCATCCATAGTTTACACTTCCAGAAAACTACATTCCTACATGATTTCCAGTGATTTCTCTCCTAAGTATAAAAGGAAAGGGCATATTGATTAATGAAATAAGGCAGGAAAAAATAGTGAAACATGTATCTACTGTCACATTTAGAAACAAAAAAAAACCCAAACCACCCACACAGATGGGAGAGCCTCAGTGGTAAGCAATGCCCTACAGCAGGGGTTCCCACCCTTAACGGCTACTGCAGGTGGGAATGTAGACCTGCAGAAGACAAAGACCATTCATAGGCATGCTGTTACTTGATAGGTGTATCACTCCCCATTTGTGCAGAATTTCCAACTCCTGAATTGCCCACAAAGCTAAGGTGCTGTGAAGGTGCTTTCACATCTTCCAGATGTTTTTTTTAAACTACTGTTGTGGTTTAATCCCAGCTAGCAACTAAGTACCAACAGCTGCTTGCTCAATCCTCTCCCTTACCACTTTCCCTGGTGGGATGGGGAGGAAAATCAGAAAAAGGTAGAACTCAAGGGCTGAGATAAGAGTTAAAGAATGAAATAAAGTAACATATAATAATAATGAAAGCGAGAGAAAGAGGAATGAAACTCAATAAAATCAAGTGATGTGCAGTATAGTTGCTTGCCACCTGCTGACCAAAGCGCAGCTTGTACCCCAGCCTGGAGACTTCTGGTCTAGTTTATATATACTGAGCATGACATTTTATAGTATGGAACATCTCTTTGGCTATTTCAGGTCAGCTGCCCTGGCTGTGCTCCCTCCTGGCTTCTTGTACCCCTCCTCACTGGCAGAGCATGAGACTGGAAAGTCCTTCACCAGGATAAACACTGCTCAGCAACCACTAAACCATCAGTGCGTTATCAGCATTGCTCTCAGACTAAATCCAAAACACAGCACTGCACCAGCTACTGGGAAGAAAAATAACTATCCCAGCCAAAACCAGGACAACTACATCAATTTGATTCACATGTTCTACAAGATGATCCTTTTAATGATTTCCATCTCTGACAACCAAAAAGATGCTTGTGAAGAAATTTCCAGAATCATTCACCTCTGCAGTGTTGGTGATACCAATCTGCATAGCTCCTGGGTGCAAGCACCCAAAGCTATTCATTAGATACTCTTGCATTAAAAAGCACTGTAAAATAATTGAGCCCTTTACAGTGACTTCCCTTTTCTTTAGAAAATTGGAAACATAAAGGCTGTTGAGTAAGTTTATTACAAATGTCACCTGTTGTAGGAAATCATAGGTAAATTGTCTTCAAAACAATGGTACATGCATGGGCATTCATATGGGAGAGAAAGGACAGTACTTGCCTTTCGTTTACTTTTTAATAAGACTATGGCAGAAATTAGTGTTTTAATAAGACTGTGGCAGAAATTAGTGTTTTAATTAGTTGCCTCACCAGTACTTATATTAAAAATTAAAAAAAAAAAAAAAATTAGAAAGCTTAGGTGACATGGGAAATAAAAACCAACTCCAACTGTTTTGTTCCGCAGCCAGAAGACCGAACGAAGGGCATGAATTCATAAGTAGACCATGCTGCTTTTTTAACTCCTCCTCCTCCCTAACCACCATAAACCCAGCAGTAAACTCCATGTCCTTTTTCACATCGGCACCAGGCAAGGAAAAGCACATGCTGTACGTTGTCAGTGCTACACACGTGCAAGTTGGCAGGAACCAGCTGCTGGTTGGAGGCACTAACCGAGGTTACTTTCCTTTACTTTTTCAGCTTTCTAAGAACACAGTATAATAGATAGCCTTTCATTGAATTTAATAAAAACCCACCAGCTGGCTTAAAGCTTCTCTGGGGGTGGCAGATGAACAGGGATAGAAAAGAGACACCCACAGAAAGATCTTACAAGAGTCATTTCTCCAGGAGCACAGGCAGAGAAAGGGAAAGCTCTCTCTGCAGACAACCCCTGCATGCAGAACTTTCCTTTAGTGGAGAATGAAGGGCAAAGGCAGAATAGAGTTTTGCTTACAGCATGCTTTCGGGTGTGATAATGATTACACTATATTTTTTTGTTAGATTTTTAAAATGTATTAGAAAAATGAAACTTCAATTTAATGCAAAAAGCTAAGTTAGTGACAGGTATCTGAAAAAGGAAAAAGCCAGTAACTACTGCCTAGGGTACAACTATGAAATCAGTCATGGTAATATCACTTGAGTCAGACAGCTATCAAACCCAGGTTTTGATTAAGTCACATATTTATGCCACCACAAAATAATAATATAATTCTTAATCACACATAACAGACTGGTTTGATCTCAAGCAAACATTCAGTTCCCCAACTATCTTAACACCCTCAGACATTATCCATATGTATTGCAAGACTGCTGGGAAGGAGCAGCAGCAGGGAAGATCTCCCCAGTGGGCAGACTAGTTCTGATTAGCGTGCACATGAGCAGGAAGCAGAGCATGATGAATTTCCAGCAGTCCCTATAAGATAGGAAGCCAATTGCCAGAATCAGGAGAAACAGAGCCCAAATGAAAACTCAGTGCCAGGAAGGGGAAGGCTAGACAGAAACCTGAGGCTAAAGTTTCTCAACAGAGCCAAATGGATCCCTGCTTTCCCTCCACCCTCTCCCATTCCTCATTGCACCTCCCTAGAATTAATTTGACCCTGCAGCAAGCTGTTCAGCTTACCAGACCAAAGGAGGAGTAATTGGCCTCTGATATAGGAGAGTAAATGGGGTCTTTGCCTAGCTGGTGGAGTAAATCAGCCTACAGAGATGATCAGTGGGGCCCACACAAGTTGCAGTTGCTCGGCTGGGAGCAGGAAGGGAGGGGTGGCATGACTAGCACAAATGAGCTTTCTGGAGGGCTTAGCCATCCCTACAGAAAAGTGGAAAAATTCTTAGATCTGCCATAGACATTCTCTCTGTTTCAAGTAATAAAAATCATTGTACAATAGTCACCTGTGAGCATAACCTGCCGGTATTAGTATGTTCCATAGCTTTAAGCTGAACACTGAGTTACCTCCCTCAGGACTCACGTGCTGGTCTTAACAGAGTGTCCCAAAGCCTCAGTTCATATGAATTCATAATTGTTAGCAATTGCAAATTACTCAAAGATAGAGAGAATCCCAGCATGGTCTGTAGCAGGACATCCTAGTCTTATTCTGGCAGTGCTGTTTTCCCAATTAATTTGTTCTGAAAGAAAGCTTGTTTCTAACACGGGTTTCAGCTTTTCTCCTCTCTGGCTCTGAGCCCAATCCCACTGATAGGACATGAAAAGAGAAAGCAAAACTCAGAGTACCAATTACAACTTCATTTCCTAATTTAAAGTTCACAAACAGCCAAAACCAGAAATTAAAAATGCTTCAAATCCCATTCCAATATTAGAACACTTAATTGAAAAGAAGAAATATGTTTAACAGGTTTTCAGCCTTTACTTTCAGATGAATAACCTTTCCTTCGCCCACAAACAACAAATTAAACCACCCGTACAAATGTTCCTGCAAGGTGTCATTTCTCTTGCTGTGTGGTATTTTCCCAACAGCAAGGATGAAATGAGCAAGTGAAATTCCTACCTTTCTTGTTTGCACGTTTGGAGGCTCGTCATGATCAGTCTCACTTTCCTCCACATTATCTTCTCGTAATTCAATGATCTCATGCTCCTGAATAGAATTTTGCCTTTTCATAGCTTCTGTTTCTGTGCGAGGACCTCTGTCTCTGAAGCAAGCATGAAGGCAACTCATTTCCTGCTGGTTTCAGCTGTAGTTATGGACAGTAACAGTTTTTGTGTGAGGCTGGAGATGGTAATAGGGAGAGTTTGGATAGTTTTCATGGGAGTGATCTCAAAACACTGATAAATAAGGGGAATTCCTTGGAAATGACGTTGTCTGCAGTAGCTACAGAGAAACGGGATGTGGAGGAAGTATCGATTTGCCTAGTCCTCAGAACTACAGCTCTCAACTATGCAATACTAGGTTTTCCAGTTTGTCTACCTTATCATACCAGCCCTTGGCAAGCAGGTGACTAAACCTTTAGCTATGTTGTCATTTGCTGAGTGTCCTGGGTTCAGCTACTGCAGTCATTTTTTCTCCTTCTTAGTAGCTGGTGCAGTGCTGTGTTTTTGACTTTCAGTCTGGGAACAACGCTGATAACACCGATGTTTTTAGTTGTTGCTCAGTAATGTTTACTCTGACCAAGGACTTTCTCAGTCTCATGCTCTGCCAGGGAGGAGGGGAAGCCAGGAGGAAGCAGAGGCAGGACACCTGACCCAAACTGGCCAAAGGGCTATTCCATACCACAGCACGTCATGCCCAGTATAGAAACTGGGGGGAGTTACCCGGAAGGCCCAGATCGCTGCTCGGGTCGGGCTGGGTATCGGTCGGCGGGTGGTGAGCGGTTGTGTCCTCTCCCCTTGTTATTTCCCTTATCCTTATTATTGGTGGTAGCAGTAGTCGTTTGTGTTATACCTTAGTTACTGAACTGCTCTTGTGTCAACTCGTGGGAGTTACATTCCTCCGATTCTCCTTCCCATCCCTCCGGGAGCAGGGGGAGGAAGAAGGGAGGGAGTGAGCAAGCGGCTGCGTGGTTCCGAGTCACCAGCTGGGCTTAAACCACGACACTGAGGCACATTGAAAGGAACCAGATTGCTTTCTCTGCGGCTGTCAGCCAAAATGGTAAAATACTATTGCTGTTACCCACACGGCTAAACAAACAGATATAATTCTGAACAGCACAAACCGAGTAAAGGATCACATAGCTCGTGGTTTGGTTAGGCTGTGAAGGGAACTTACAACACCCATCAGCACTTCTAATTTTAGTCTTTTTATAGTTGATAGAGAAATGAGTACTACTGACCTTTGTGCTGCGAATTGTCCTCTCTTCAGCTGTTACACAGGCTAAAATCACCTCTGGCTTAAAGAAATCATTAATATCTACTTACATACTATCCAACCTAAAACTGAAAAGCTGCTTCCATGTAAATACTAAAAGGGCAAATCTGAAGACAAGAGAAAGATGACCTTCAATTTCAGCCTATGGTCTACAAGGCATGCTTTTATGAAGCAAGTCATGTTATAAGTTGTGATCTGGTCTGCACTATGGTGAACTCTCCTGTGCTAAATAGAGTCACAACTTACTGCAGCCAGGGACTGATGCCTCCCCTCTTCCCACCCCCCAGCCCCCTGGATCCTTCATCCTACCTCCTCTCATTTCTGTTCTGACTCCATCCTCATGTTTCTTCTTCCCCCCCCTGCCCCTTCTTCTGGTC